GCAGATGTGCATCTTTCTTCTCTTATAACTTGACTATTTCTACTAGCGCAGATTTAAGATTTCTCATGGTAAAAGACATGATATTCGTAGTCAGTTTACGAAGTGATTATTCGGACTCGAGTCCAAATATGAAAAAATGTTATTCGGACTGATTCTTGTCCAGCATGACATCACTTCCGACTTCCTGTGACTCGTGAATCCGGCTTCCTGTCCTGCCTCACTCGTGACTCGCCTCAAGCTGGGTAGTGACCGGGATCACTTCGGGCAAAAAGGCGTTTTGTGCTGGAGCCGAGTTTTAATCTTATGATGAATTTGAGGCCGGCCTGAAAAGTTATAGCGCTTCTAATAAATGTTTATTTATCAAGAGGTCATCAGAAGCAATTAAAGATGGCTCGTTAGCATGTGTCGGGGTCGGATGGGCGGCCTGCACACGTGTGGCTGTGTGCGTGTCGGGGAGGCACTATCGGTCCGGGCTTTGAACGTCGCATAAGCATCGGTCTTTTTCCCCCCAGCAACCGATCATTATTACAATAATAAGCTAGTCTTGACGTAGATCTACGTAATGAATTGTGCGCTGGTCTATGAAATCAAAAGTTGCCGTATGCTCAGCTCTACACAGCAACACAACTTTTTCTTGGTAAACAATCGATATGACACAGGCTTGTGTATTTGAACGAATCGGACTTTTTTTTTTTTTTTTTTTTACACAGCTCATAATATGCCAGGTGGTCTGCTAATCTTCAATTTTACCTTTTTCTACAACAAAGAAAGTGGGAAACGTGGGGGGGGGGAGGCGTATCAATGAGGCGGCGGGCATTGGATAGGCAGATAAGGTGTGGGGGAAACTAAAAAATGGCGGAAAATTGGAAGCACTGAACGTTAGATCTATAGAACGAAGACACTTCCTTTTTTCCGGACCCGAGCCCGAATAACATTTTTTTCATATTCGGACTCGAGTCCGAATAAGAATTTTTTTTATTCGGACTCAACAGATTTTGGAGAAATCTGTCGTGCATTTTTAAAATTAACAATCATTTATTCATAAGTTTGTAACTAGAATAGGACAAATTGGGTACTCTACAAAGACGTGCCTAGAACAAAAACTAACGCACAGAAATTAACCATTCTAACGCAGAATAAATCTCTAAACATTGAGCTTTTAGTACATCCGCGTAATGGTTTGCTATGTGGGATGGGGAAGAAGTTATATCGTTTTAAACATAGTCAAAAATGCGAACTTCCTAACCGACACCGGCAAAGTCGCCTCAGGGCTCATTAACCCCATGACCCCGAGCCGGGGAGCTCCGGCGGGCTGCTGAGTCACGCGAACTAAAAAAAGTAACAGAATCGGGCGAAAAGTGACGCCGTGCGCAGAATGCGCCTGAGCACACACACTATTATCCTACTCATTTTTGTCCAAAACATTCCCTTTGTGTAAAGGGAGTGTATACAGACCCGGTAACCGGGAACAAAGTCACAAAGTATACAGACCCGGTAGGGGAACTCTTTTGTGATTTCGGAAAGTTTCAGCGCCCTCTTGGCTCAGGGTAGACCTAGGTTCTTCTATATCTATGGCCTAGGCTAGATCTAGATAGACAGACATAAATCATTGATCTAGTTTCGAAGCTAGCCTAGATCTAGATCTAAATGAAGATTGCGGATGTTTTTTCTGTGCTTTTTCAGTAGTTCCCACCCCCCTTATATTTTGAGCCTGACCTACATCGAGATCTATACGTTTGATGGGAGCTAAGATATCAAACCTAACAACTGCAAAACATCAAATTATGGTAAAATTCAGGGGGGCATGCCCCCCTGAAACCCCCCACCACATTTTTATTAGGACTGGGGGGCAAGGCCCCCTGAAACCCCCCACTCTTGAGGCCAAAACCGGCGAATAACAATTGCGGGGTGGGAACTACCGAAAAAGCGCCGTCTTTTCGATGAACGATCGTTGTTCCTCCGTTTTGGAGTTGGAGGAATCACAATTTTAAGAAAAGAACAATGTCATAATTTCTCTCGAACAGTCATCCTCTCTCTCTCTGTCGCTCGCATTCTCTTTTTCTTTGATTGTCTCTGTCTTTCTTTCTCCCCACCTATTTCCCACTTTATCTTTCACTCATTCCCTCCTGCCAACTGGGGCATGTCATACATTTTGCTAGCACTTCCCCCTGCTCTCTCTCTCTCTCTCTCTCATACACACACTACCGGATCTGGGCGATGAAACTTTCCGAAATCGCAAAAGAGTTCCCCTACCGGGTCTGTATACTTCGTGACTTTGTTCCCGGTTACCGGGTCTGTATACACTTCGTTGTGTAAATTTGTTATCTCTCTCTTTCTCTCACGACCCCCCCCCCC